AATGATTTAACAGATAAATCTAATTTGCTTCTCCTGGGATGAAACTAAAATAAATTCATCAATACTACTTATAGTTAGAGAAAACTAACCAAGTGTTAAATTAGAACTTTCATTAAAATGGTTGAAAATAGGCCTTCACAAAAGTTAATTTGCATATGAATTCTTACTAATACATGTAATGATTTGTTTTCCAGTTTACATGAACATTACAAAAGCCCACACATATGGTAGTATATTGTTACAAATCCTGATTACATAAGATCACAGATTCTACATGTAGTAGATTACTGGGTATAGTTGTTAAATACAGATATTTCACATTAGTAAAGACTCTGGTACAGAAATAATTAACAGATGTATTATGAATCACTCCAATTGCTTTACTATGACCTTCACAAGAGGCTTATTTTGGTTCTCTTCACAAGTACTGTGATTTACAAATTCAACTTTTAACCCCCCAACCCAATTCCACCCCACCACCCCCACCCCTTCCCACTTTTTTGTTTTTACCAGTCTTATTAATTATCAGATATTTCTTTTTGTGCTTGATGGATGAGATAGGCATTTATTCAAATGAATGAAATATGCCCCTTTGTGTTTTAAACATATTTTATTCATAGCAACATGAAATGGATTGAACATCAGGCTTGATTGCCTATAATCGTTTTCTCCACAGTGTCCCTTTATTGGGCCTCTTCAACAATTAAGTCTTATGGGAAAAAATTAAAGAAATGTATCAACTTAAAACAATTTCGCATACATAACTCTAAATAAGGGACAAGGAGACAAAAATAATAAAAAATAGAAAACTGTAGATGCATATATATGTATACATGTACTTTCATGTGCAAAATTATTTTACTTAATAATATCAACATTCCCAATACCAAATACATTGTATTGATAATTTTATTAATCATGCAATTCAATATTTGAGATTTGTATACTGTTGAAAAATCATGCTATGGGGGGAAATGAAGAGAATCAAAATAAGGAAAAACAGACCTCTGAGTGTAGAATAATGGACAGTGGTTACACAGCATGGTGTTTCTAGCCACCAGCTTGATTTAAAAGCTTCAGGCTGGCACATACCAAAAAATATGACTAAAAATAACTCTTAACTCTAAATCAATTGAATGGAAAGATTGCACTAAATTTTGAAAGCACCAATTTATGTAAGTTTACAGTATCATTTAATTTTTCCATATTTTTTAAATGTACCAGCTCAAGTGGCAAAAACAGTTAAAAGAAGGCATTTAAAAAATATCAATTTGGTTTTTACCTTTCCTTTCCACTAAAATACAACAAGATACAACAAATAATTAGACATTACATAATGATTGTACTGAAGCCTTCTTCACCAGGTGATCCATTCTTGCTGGCTTCTTGGAGGCTGAAATTGTATTAATCACTACCTAGAATCTAGAGGGACTCCACAAACCTATTCAGGAAACTGTAAAGAAACTTATCCACAAGAATATGACTTGTAAAGTTGTAATAAAAAATTAATTCAAGATGCCAAATAGCTTAAAGTGAATTATTTAAATCAAAAAAGTACATATGATTAACATATGTAAATTTCATATATCTTTCAAATACATGCCCAAGATTTATGCAACACTTTATTTTGTGGAAAAGTTCTTTTATAGCATCCTGATACAGGTTATCTAGGGAACATTAAAATACAATCACATGATAGTATGCAAATTAATCATGTGACTGTAGCAACACTGGGTCAACAACGAGTACCACTCATGCAGAGCGACATTAGGTGGTACCTTCTCATCATGTTCACGAGTGAGCTTCTGATACTCTTGTCTGTTTGCCTGTTCCACTTGCTCGACATTGCCTGCTTTTATAGCTTTCTTTAACGATTTAGCGTGGAATTTTTCCAAGGCGGTCTTAGCTTTCACCTGAGATATCATGAGTCTCTCCTCCTGTAGCTCATGTACCTCACGCATAGTTTCCCTGGCCTAGAAAAAGGAGTCAAGAAAACATGGCACATGTGAAATGCAAATGATAACAGGAAAGTGAAGGGTCATGTCATGAATAAATGGTTTTCTGGAGCAGACTGAAATTGTTTGACTGAGAGAAAATAACCTTAAAATTTGTAAACTGCTTCATTATTTGAGCTGAAAAGGTAAATTAGGATCATTAGCACATTAACATATAAATAATCCACCGATTCATCAAGAAATTATTAACAGGTATTTATTTTTTTAATACTATTTTTTTCAGGAAGTAGTGTACATGACAAAACCAAACAGATAAGATCTGAAAAATTCCATTTCTGCAGACTGGCATGTTGTCTTGGCCAACAGTAATCCCAAACATACATAATTTTTTAAATATTTCTTATGTTGCTTGTATTTAATGTATGATGTTTCAAGAATATTTATCTTTATAAAGTAACAACAATGACTGTTCATTATACCTTTTCATGCTTTTTACTAAGTGACTCCAGTTCTTTATCCCTTTTGCAGATAACCTTGAAGAATGCCTTTTGATTTTTGAGATCTTTCAAAGGTGTTGGAACCAGTAATGCTGGGTCTTCAATAAAATATACACATTTAAAATGAACAAAGTCTGTTTAGTATTTAAAAATACAAATGTATGACAAATATGTACATGTACTCTGCTGTTCAATTTTTTCATGCAAAGCAAAAATTTTTTTTAGATGGCTATCCCTCATTCCCCGATGCTTACTATAGCTTATTACCACAAAAATGATATGGTGCTGCAATGAAATTTTGCCCTGTGTTATTTTTGCCCAAGGTATTAAAATGCTTTTGTCAAATTTTAAATTTCCCCAAAGACACATTAGTATTTCAGAATGATTTTCCCACACTGAGCTTCAATTTCTGGAGAAAAGAATGAAATGGGTAAAAAAAAAATCCAGAATACAGTGTATAAAATTACATTGTAAATGTGCACCTACCATTTAATAGTGATTGAATTGTGCTCACTGGCTGCCCTGTAAATAGAAAAAAAAGTCGCATCATCTTAATATTCATTGACATGCATAGGTAACACTGTTGGTTGGCAGTTTAGGTACACTGTAACTAGTAATGTTGATTAATATAGTTATGGCTAAGACAACTGGTTATTTTACAAGGTGTGTTGGTTTACAATACATGGTTAAAGCTGTTGGTTTATGGTGTTTGACAGAAACTCTTGGTTTACAGCGTATGGCTGAGACTGTTGATTTACAGCATATGGCTGAGACTGTTGGTTTACAGTGTATGACACAGACTCATAGTTAAAGTGTATGGCTGAGAATGTTGATTTACAGCATATGGCTGAGACTGTTGGTTTACAGTGTATGACACAGACTCATAGTTAAAGTGTATGGCTGAGACTGTTGATTTACAGCATATGGCTGAGACTGTTTGTTTACAGTGTATGACACAGACTCATAGTTAAAGTGTTTGACCGAGACTGTTGATTTACAGTGTATGGCAGAGACTGTTGGTTTACAGTGTATGACACAGACTCATAGTTAAAGTGTATGGCTGAGACTGTTGATTTACAGCATATGGCTGAGACTGTTGGTTTACAGTGTATGACACAGACTCATAGTTAAAGTGTATGGCGGGGACTGTTGATTTACAGTGTATGGCAGAGACTGTTGGTTTATAATCATAATGTATGAATATGACCTTAAATTTACAGAGTATGGCTAAAATTCTTGGTTTACAGTATAATGGCTAAGAGCTGTAGTTTACAATAAAATTTATGGCTAAGACTGTTGGTTTACAGGGTATGACAGAGACTTTTTTAAAGTATATAGCAGAGATTCCTTTATTATAAAATGGCTATAAAATTGTATGTTTATAGTGTATTTACAATTTATGGCTAGCACTGCTGATTTACAGTGTATCACTAAGGTCCTGGGTTTACAGTGTATGGCTAAGACTGTTGTTTGCAGTGTATGTCTAAGACCCTGGGTTCACAGTATATGGCAGAGAATGTTGAGATTTACAGCATTTGGCAGAGACTCTTGGTTAACAATGTATGGCAGGGACTACTGTATAGGGGGAAATTAACTCGCGGTGTTAATATTCGCTATATTCACGGTGTTAATAAATCCGTGAAATCAAGAAACAGTGAATTAGTTTTCAATAACCTCCATGTCTTATTTGGAAATTTGAGAATAGATTTCGATAGGTATATATACGTGCAGTACATGGTCATTTCAGTAATTACGAGTAGTACTTGTCATTCAATTATTTTAATTATCACGCTTTACTTTAATTCAAATCTGCAGATAATAACCTGTATTTGTTAAAACGCTGTTTTAATAGCCAACACTACATGTTTCATGAATCAAAACACGTGGGTCATGGGTTTTGATTACCCGTGCGTAACTAATGTGTTACCTGCATTATCATGCGTAGTAGTTTTTATCGTCATTTGGTTTTAAAAAATCATTCAAATAACTATCGAACTTGCTGAAGATGTGGAAGGATATTATTTTGTTGACATAATTAACACATTTATTATCGTCCAGTGATATTTCGCCGCGGTGTATTATCCCTTCGGAAAGAAGATCTTGGGGTGTACATGAACTCATCGTAACAGCATATAGGAGAGTCATTCGACGTTTATAGTCAAGGACTTTTAATAACTGCACTTGTTTTAATTAATGGTAAATTAATTATTAAATCTAACTATTTTATATAAACCAACCCTGTTTTTCGTGAAGTGAATACATAACGCTGATTAATGTCGTTCTATATATGATACGGATTAAACGGATACAGACAAGGGAGGTAACTTTTATTATATACCGATTCCGCGAATTCAACAAACCGCGATCGTGCCAGAGGAGAGAAAAACGTGAAAATTACAACCCGTGAAATTAATCCCCTATACAGTATTGGTTTACAGTGTATATGGCTTACACACTGGGTTAACAGTGTTTGGCAGGGACTGCTGGTGTACAGTGTATGACAGAGACTGCTGGTTTACAGTGTATGGCTAGACCAATGGATTAAAGTGTATTGTGTATGGTTTACAGTGATTGGCAATCTGTTGATTTTCATTGTATGACTGACAGTTGGTTTTTGTGTCTAGCAGAAACCCTTGGTTTACAGTGTATGGCTAAGACTATTGGTTAACAGTGCATTGCTAGGATAGTTGGTTAACAGTGTATTGCAAAGACTCTTATTTATGCAGCATGACACAGATTTTTAAATTAAAGTGTATGTGCCAAATGCAGATATGTTTTCTCTAAAGTATGGGGTTAGGACAATGAAGTACTGAGAAAGTACATTTTCACTATATCAGTTATGATTTTAGCAAAAGAAATAGTAATCAAAGTACTCATAATTCTGTAAGTTGGGCTCTTTAAACAAAATAGCAAAAATTAAGGCTGCAATGACATCTATCATGAAAACCAATAAAAAAAAAGCTAACAAAAAAATAATATTTTAAAAATTTGACACTGTAAATGAAATATCAAATTTGTAACAGTTGGGATCTCTTACAATGGTCCGAGTTAATCAGGGTCCGAATTAACTTGATACCACCGAAGGTAAACAAACAGATTAGCCTGGTTCCCTTTTCCTACGCCAGCTAAAAATACTGATAAAACTTTCAGTAATTTTCTTTCTGTCCAGCATGATATCAATTTACATCAATCAAACTTATAAAATTTACAATTTGAGAAATGGTTATTGTTTTTCAACCTAACATGGGCAACCACGATTTTGAAGATGAGATTATCTAGGAATGACCTTCACACTATCTTCTCCATACCTATATGGATTAGATAAAGGTCATGGAGATATTAAGTCAGAATGCTATGTAGCTAGGTACTTTATAATGACTATACACACCTTTGTTTTCTTTAAGGGATATTTGGTTGAACTGATTTGGTTGGCCATTGCTTGTTTCTGGTTTAACTATTGGATGAGTGGGTTTCTTGCTGATTTTCTCCTTGGTTATTTCCTCTGGCATTGCAGGGGTTGGGCTCTTGGTTCGGTTTAGAGGATTCACTTCTCGGTGTTGTGGTGAGGTGGGACCAGAGGTTTTACCGTTTGGCTGTGCAGACTATAAAAATCAGAGTGAAAATTTCACAATTTTTAATTGATTCTCAAAGTGTACATGTATTCAAAATTTCATTAAATATATATATGACAATGAATTAAAATTATATGAAAACTTTCACAAATACACTATTGTATGTTTTAAAAGATGTTTTATTATAAAAAAAAAAAATTCATGAGTAAAACTCATATATAGGTATGATATACTAAGTAAAGGATTGGCATATACAATTAAAGAGAAACACATATACAAATGAGTGGATTCATGCATTAAGTATGTATTTGCAATATCTGGGGTACATGTTGTTTAACATTGGTCCAAGCCTCACAGACCACTGGGGGTATACATAATATACTGGTTTTGAACTAATAATTTCAAATTTTGAAAAGTTCTTAGGACTGACAGGCTTAGTGACTGGATAGAATTTCAAAATGAGGTTACTGTGATGTAATTCTTGGCTGTAACACACATTTTCCCAAGGGTCCTTCAAATTACAGGGTTTCTTCAAATTACAAGGTTTAATGATTCTAAGTGTCTCAGTGTGCAAGATGTAATCAAGACACAATGAATTCCAAAATGTCAATTCCATGACCCATTTTGGGATTTCAAGACACCTTAAAGTGTGCAAACTACCATTACAGAAGACACACTAACAGATGGACAGAAAAGAGGAAATGTCCTACCGTAACATAACACGCCTGTCAAAAGACAGGCATGCAAAAAATAGTTTTGTAATTTTTAAGGTAAGTCATTTACATATGTAAAAAGAAATGACCCATTACAAACAGCAATGCAGACACACTAATTAAAGACCACAGACTGGATATTACTGGGGAACTTAAAACTTAAGGGTTATATTCTCTCCCAAACTGTAACCACTTGCCCCCACCCCCACCCCCACCTTTCCTCCTAATTGCCTGTTTTCTTCTATTCCACCCTTTCCCTGTTAGTTTTTCAGGACTACAAATGCTACAATATATGTGTAAAGAGATACCAGTGTATACTTGAGAACCCTTTTCAAATAGAGAGCATATAAACTTACGACAAACTCCGAGTCCTCTAGCACGGCTAACTGCTGACTATGTTTCTCCTGTTCTGATAGGTAGGCTATGGGATTTATTAGTGCATCAATATAAACTGAAAATGGAAGAAAGAAAACATGCAAAAAGAGAATTCTGATAAATATGTACAGAATGTAAGCATTTGTTAAACAGTATGATTGAAGCAAAGTAAGAAAACATATCTAAATGTACAAAAATATTTCATGCCATTTTTATTCCAAATGCAGTGGATGATCTTTTTTTTTTTGCTTGTTTGATACACTTCTAGCTCAAAGAAAAAATTGAAATGGAGAAAGAAAATGTATGTATAAGCCTTAGATTTGGCATTCAATGTGTATTTGAAAATTGAAGAAATTTATTTGAGTTGTTGAAGCAATAATTAGTTCTGCAAAAATGTTTAAAACAGCAACAAAGAAAGCATTAATTTTATGCTAACAATAAATTTGTTCACAAACAGATATACATAGTGTATCAGTTTTTTCCAACCATGCAATATCATTCGTACCATCCAATATCAAGGCCCAGTTGCAAATAATAACAGCCTTTTTTTTAGTACCATACAAGATTTTTTTAAAGACTATGTAGTGCTTCAAACCTTTAAACTACTGCTTTTATCTATGTTGTTGTATTTTATACTTTTGCCCAACAATTCTTGCTCAGAAATATTAAGTTCCTCCCCAATATCAAAGAACTTGGAGAGAAGAGTTTTTCTTTTCTCTTTTTCTCGTTTACTCCAATATTGTCTGGGGTTTGTCAAAGCATCCACTAAGCCTGAAAAGTTATCAGTGATTCACAGACTTAATATACTAACATTTTAATGAACTTTCCTATGTGAATTTTAAGAAAAATTACAAATCTTTTTTTTTATCTAATTTCCTGTTCCTGTAAATTTCAAATCTAGGAAATGGATAATTAAGCTTTCATATATATAGAGAGTACACATGTTAAAACATGATGTTTAATTCAGGTTAGTCAACTAATTCCAAATCAACCAAACACAAAAAGATAATTTATCAGCATTAAAGTAGTATTTTTCATCACTGCCAATTATCCAATCAACAGATTTTATACAATGTCCAGGGTTCTGTACACATGTATATTGGCCAGGGTTCATCAAAGCCTCCACTACGGCTGCAAAGGTAGTTGTGATTCATAGACTTAACATATACACTTTCTCATAATTCAAGTGAATAATAATTCATAAAAAGCTGTCCATCATATCAAACACTATTGCATACAATTCATTTTTCTGTGGAATCATTTATTTTATGGGGTCAATGTTCGTGGGCTAGCAAAATTTTTTACTGGTTTCTGGGGACATCATTTTTTGATCAATTCATTTATACAAAAGATTCAATGAATCAATAGTTGACAAAATAATTGTTTGTGGGGCTATAAATTTGTTGGTAACCCATTAAATCCACAAACATTGGTCCCCCAGGAACAATGATGATTCCACAGTAATGTTTAACATGTCTTAAATCCTGCTAAGCCATCTTCTTGTAAATCAAAATTCATATACACTGACACAGAGTTTATCTGACAGTTTCCAAAATGGAGATTTTTCTAATAAAGCATACTTCTCCAATATACTAAATGTGTTCAAGCATACTTTACAATCTTAAAACCTACGTTAAACTTAAAACAAACTACCAAAACTTAAATGCAATTAATTAACATACTGAAATTCAAATCAAGATAACTCTTACCAGACATATCATCAGGAACATAATCTTTCACATTGATGTGTACGAAGACAGTGGGCATTAATAATGGCAAGTTACACTCGTTCCTCAGAGGTATATGTCTGTAACCTGTAAAGATAAAGAGGAATAAACTGTATGTCATGATTTAATCAATTTCACAATTTGCCACCCCTTATTGAAAGCCCCGACAATTGGCAAAAAAAAAAAAACAAAAACAAAAACAAAGAAGAAAACACTATGTTCTTGCCAAAATTCTCAATATAAAATCCCTTTTTTTGATAAGCATGGGTGCTGAGTTAAAAAAAAAAATATGTAAGAAATCTACATTTCTAATGTAAGCCTGGCCCAACAATCACAATGACTTCTCTGGAATTTGAAATAAATTTTGACCTGGTGTCTATAAAATCCATGCTTCCAACAAGAAGGGTATCACAATAGTTCACCAATAAATTTACCCAGGTGACCTTAATATGTCCCTAGGGTTTATACCTGGTCTTAGTCCCTCCACTGGTAGCACCCTGTGACCCAACAATTTATTGTTCTCATCCATCACAGCAAGCCGTATCACTGCCAAAGTCGGCAACACAACCTGAAAAAATAAAGATCGTTGATCAACATCTTATATAAAAAATTAACATAATCAAGTTTTTCTTTCTTGTAAGGGTTATTTTTCATTTTTATTAAGATATTAAGAATTCCAACAAATAAATTCAAAGATAAATGATACACATATTTATACTAGTAGTAATCTTCAAATATAATATTTAATAGCCTATCTATAAGCACACTTTAACAAATGAATTAGTTTCCCTTTTACACAAAGACAACTTTTCTTAGTACTGAAGATTCCTTATTTTACGCGAGTACTTAATATCACGAAATGGCCCAAGGGCGTCAAATAGCGATAACAAAAATTAGAGAATCGTTGATTTATCTAGAGATTTTACATACATTAAAGCGCTATAAAAATAAAAGCGAGTAATTTTATTTCATGAGTGGTGCTTCTCGCGTAATTACGCGATAATTTATTCCTCGCGTATATTTGGGAATCTACAGTATACCTCTTCATGTCTACAAACATAAATTGTCCTTAACCAGATCCAAAAATCAAACCTCAAAGTATCATATGTGTACCCTTTTCATGTAATGAAGAATTGTATGTCTTATTCGTAGGATTCATATTTTGGCCAAGGCATAAGTGTGTAAATCATGACCATCACTAACCTTCCCTAATTAGGCTTGCAATATAGAATTCATGATCAAACTTCAATTGCACTTCATTTTGAATACACCATAAAAAGTAAACGTGCGAGCATAAAATTTTAATTCAACCTTATGATTATCAATTGTAGTGATTCTACAGCCAATAAAAAAAACTATAAGGGAAAGTGCAGTATATAAAAAGTATGTAATAAAGATTCTGTGAAAGTTTCATTAAATTTTATTCAGTGGTATAGGAGTTATGGATAGAGATGGGTACCCTCCAATGTTAAAGAATGGCAAAATCCACGTTTTGCTATGGGAAACCCCAAATTTCTTTCCGATCAAAACGTAAAATAGATGCACAATGCCATATGTAATAAAGATTTTGTGAAAGTTTCATTACATTGCATTCAGGGGGGTAATAGGAGTTACCGATAAGGGATGGCTACCCCAAAGTGTGACGGACAGACGTATGGATGGACATCCCATTACTATATACCCCCACTACTCAAGCAGGGGTATAATAATACAAGAACTGCAGTATATATATGCTAAAAATCTATCTACTTTCAGCCATCAGGGATTGACTTCCTTTGTAGCAATTAAATGACACATACTGTGCTAGAGCTCTGTTTCTAAATAGTACACCTAAATCTCACCTTTTTAAATACAAATGGCTCCTCATCATAGACAGGATTAATGCCATTATTTGGGACTGTTCTAGTTCGGTGACGTTTACGAACTGTATCTGTGGGTAGACCATACATATCCACTTCAACATAAGTACCAATTTTTTTGTCTGTTAAAAATTGCCCTGATATAACCTGAAAAGAAGAAGAGTTTCACTGTATTTGCTTAAAAGATTTACTTATAACAATCTTAAATTTTAATACATGTATCTAACTTAATTTTTTTTCCTTCTTGTACTGTATTCCAATTTCTTTTGCTGTATTTCAATTTTTCAAGTCTTTACCTTAATAGTTAATGTGGCTGCCACTACACCATCCATAATAGATTCGGCAAATGGATCAAATCGTCTGTCATCTCTCCTCATAAAATCTGGCTTCAGGATGTAGCCACATTGATTGTTGTATTCAAATATTCCAAGATTTAATTGCATGGCAAGATCTGAAATGAGAACAACAGTCAAGTATCAAGGAATGGCAAGAAAAAAAATAAATAATTATATCCTGCCAAAAGAAACTCCTCAGTTATATTAATGGCAGTGACCAAAATTAGTGGTTGCTGAGTCACGTTTTTGTATCTGAAAATTTTGTCCATTCACATATTATTTTTTTAACCAACCTAAAGTTTGGAAGTTTAATGCCACAAGTTGGCAACCCGCATTCCAGAAGATCTAAAAAATAAAATGGAAAAAATTAAATTTTTACCTCTTGAAATCATCAGGGTTGATAATAACGAAATTACAAAAAAAATAAAATCTAATTAATATACACTGTAAATGTGGAAATTTTGCAATCGTAATTTTTGTGATTTTTTATATGAACAAAACCTTTCGTGTGATATGATTCAAAGAACATTTTGCATCGAGTTAAATCTTGCAAAGTTCTTCCAATGGGGTAAATTTTGCCGAGTTCTTCAATTACAAAATTAAAAAGAAATTAACCTATGCAAATATTTCCACATGTATATTGACCATAAAATGGTTACTATATGAGGGACACTTTTTCCAATTAATAATAATTAAGATGGCAGACCTGTGGAAGGAAGTTACTGGAGTCCACACGTGTCCCGCGGGGGTATATCCTACTTAACTGTCTCTTATTGTAACTAAGGGAGAGTTAAGGAACATATATGTACATGTATATAATCTTATAATGTAAGTTCTACAGAATATCTGAGCCCTGAATAAAGTGTGTCTGGGAAGAACATGTGCAATGCTTCAATTATATGGATAAAATCAAACTTGACAAGAGAGAGGTAACAGAAATTATCTGATAAAATACATGTAGATTACTAGATGTATTCCTATACAATTCATAGATTACATGACACCGCGAATTCAGGCATCGTCCACTACACATCAAACAAACACCCAAAATGTTGTCTTCATATACATTAAATCTGTGATTAGGATATTACTAAAAATTGGAACAGCCATAAGATATCTATGAACAGAAATAAAAGATCTGCATAGCAGTATATAATCAGCACAAGGATACTTGACAAATTCCACAGGGTATTCTTTCAGAAGACTGGTTGCCTGAGTTTCCACAAAGGAGGAGATCTCGAAACTTTTGTTTCTCTCTAAAAATGTAAAATCAACAAAGTACTACAGCAGTTATTTAGTATAGGACTCTTATCAGTATAATGCATGACAAATGTCATCAATACTCAACCATCATCAAGTGAATCCCAATTTATAATGTTATTCTTGGAAATCTCTTAATTCAATAATGTTCTGTAGTATTAAGCTATTTTTGTCTTTTTTATGTACATGTACCAAGTACAAACACACTAAGAATATACACATATTTACATCACAAAATCTCTGTGACTTACTTTCTGAAGTTTCAAAGGAATGGAAGTGAACTGGTTGAACATAATTAACGAGCATTGACATTTCTAGCCCAGCCTCGGCTTCTTGTCCAGCTGTACCCTGAAAAGTAGAATTTTAAAATTTTATTATCATTCACACATACAAACAACATCCTTAAAATGTATAAAATTAATCTAATTTAACATTGCCTCACTGTCCATAAAATGAAGCATATTTTATCATCATTTACAAATACATTTAACATCCCTGACATGTAGAAATCTATCAGAAACATTTGCCTCCCTTTTTAGTCATGAAAGCAATGCAAAATTCATAGCCCTGACTTGTATGTTATTTGTGTAACACATCAGTACAAACCTTCTCAACATTGAACTGTCTTCTCTCTTCATTATCATCATCCCCATCATCGTCATCGCTGTCAGAGGAATCAGATGCCACATCCTCTAAATTTGCATCAGGGCCAGGTACTCCTTGACTGAGGTTGTCCTCTGACACACTCTCTGACCGTTTTCCCCCCTCACTGCCTCCAATCCCACCCCCAGTCCCACCCCCTTCATCCACAGAATTTGTATCCTTCACTGGACGCTGCTTTGGCTTTTCTAAAAGAAATTAAAAATGAACACCTTGTGAACTTCAAGGGTTCGATAAGTAGTACATATCTGAAGCCTGAATTCAGTGTAAAAAAAAAATTCAAAAATTGTTGTTTTTTTAATTCTTTCACAATTTCAGTCATATTTTGCAATAATTGAATTTTTTACTTTTTTGGATGAAGAAACAAACTGATAGTAGCCTAATTGCAAGTGCAAGCATCACTCAAAACTAAGTTGATAGTTAAAAGCTGGTGTGATATAATAAGCTGTGCCATTATGCAAAAAAGATTTGCAGGCATGTTACTAAGAGACATTAGAGAACAAGAATATTCTCAAAGTTTGCTGCAAAAACGTCACAATTCTTGTGGCAAGATTATTCTTTTTGTAGTAAGTTTCAAGCACTAAGACCTAATTACAGATTATATGTAATTTCTAATTAACACAGTAGAACGCATACATGAACTTTGCAGTATTATGAAATACAATGTGAATAATTTGTATTAGATGGTTAAATTAAAAGCATTTTAGGTAGTATGGCTGTTAATTTAAAAGAAAACACAAATTATCTACATAGATCTGCATTCTTTACACGTGATTCTCAATCACACAACTCAGAAACTGAAACCTCAACAACTCTGCTTCTTACAGCAACATTGTATAATTAAACACTTAAACCCTGTAAAGAAAAGTCTTCCCATTTCTTAAAATTAACCACCTACAAGTTCAAAATCTCCTATGATCATTATTCAAAGAGGTATGCTATACAACTCTAGTGGGTTGGTGAAATAGAAAGCTGAACAATCTTCAATCATCCACAATATTAGGTCTTACACCTAAAAACCAGGTTATTCAATAGGTTTCACAATTTCAGATCATTTTCATAAGGTTTAGAATCAATGAGTGAGATTCCTTGCAAGGAATATTTTTTAATGTTTTGTAGGAGTTATCTTCCTTGAATCATTCTCCCTTAATTCCATAAAATATCACACACATGGTAATGATCATCCTGTCAACATAAATTTCAATTATAAGACCTGTGGAAAATACACTGAGAAGAGAAGAGTTATCTGGCATGATTAGAAATGCTAGCAGCAGAAAGAGAGAGTTTGGCAAGTCTGCCATTACTGAGAAACCTGGCCGACTAAACCGAGAGACTATATATGTGCTCCTGCGGTGGCTATTGTAAGTCTGTTAACGCTTAGTGCAGAATAACATATTGTTAAATGAAACACGAATTACCTTTTTTCCGTTCTGTAATTGGAACCAACAAAATTTTTTTTAAACAAAAAGATCCACGCAGAAATTCTTTAAATTATCTGATCATGCTCTCTCATATGTACTGTGTTAAGGAAGTTTGCAAGGGGTATGTTCATTCAAATGTGCACATTGATTTTTTTTTTTTTTTTTTTTTTTGAATAATTTCCTATTTGAGTCATTCACATTTGCAAAAAATTTTATGCAACAAGGCAACAATCTTGAGCATGCCATGACTGAAAGTTAGTAAGATCAAGATTCTGACCATGCTGTGGACCAGTGTAGGATTTCAATCTTACCTCTTTGGTGGAAATGTTTCTTCTTGTTCTTGACGATAATTTTACGCATTAGACTACTGGGGCTTGGCAATGGAACACCTGTATCTAACTGTAAAAGTAAGCAAATAAACATGCAACCAGCTTTTTATTCGATATACAGATATACCCATAAGCTTTGTTTTTTCCTTCCAGCAGTGTTTTCCCTTTATTTCAAAGTAAAGGGTTAGAGATCAATTGTAATAGGCTAGGGGTTGAGGTTTATAAACAAAATCTCTGTGGACCTTACAACAATTATTTTGCAAATTTTTGATTTCTGAGTGGCATTTTTGTCAATTGGTCAATTTGGCCAGTAGCCAGTTCTTAGGGAAAACACTGCTCCAGTAATATTCCTTGTCAAAAAAATGTAGCCATTTTCCCTTTTAACAATGGCTGGAAAGGAGTTTAATTTGAACATTACTGGTAAGAAGCTGCTGCAGGGAAAATTTTCATAGTCTTTTTAATGCAGTATTTTTACATTTTGTTGAATGTTTCAATGATCTTGGTGGCTTTCAATTAATGTACTGAAGTACCGGTAATCTGATTAAAATTTGGTGTATTTTCCAATCTAAAAGAATTGAACCAATTTGGGACTTTACATTAAGATCCACAGAAATATGTGTTTAAGAGGTATATTAAACAAATGACCAGGCCATCTTTAAAACAATGTTTGCTTGTTTGCTTGCCCTATCCTGACTCAGGATGAAAAAATTGAGTCGATAGGTAGGTGAGAAATTTTTTTTTCAAAGAAAATTTCACAATCAATGCTGAATTTTCAAAATCTGTTTTCCGGAGTGCATAAAAAAAAATAATTGCCTCCTAGAGGTTAAAAAAAGTTTTTAGTTGGACCATTATTAGCCAGTCAGTCGGGAGAGGGCAACCAATTTTTTAAAGATGGCCCCAGCAGAAAATGTTAAATTAAGATTACTTATAAACTAAAAACATCTATTAGTATATTTTTTCAATATAAAGTTGAATTACAGTAAATCCGTCTAGTGTGTCTGTCAGTAACATGTCACCAAATATGTTCCTGCAGTGGGCTGCCATCTTAGCTTGCTGCCTTTGCCTGGAACATTAGAACAAACAACTATGAATACAAACCTGTTGAACATAAACAATTTATATAAAATTAAATATATAATACAACAAAGTAATAAAGTTTCAGCAATTTATAAAAATTAATTATAAAAAATAATTTTCTTTTTTTTTTTATTTGTACCATCTGAATGCTAAGAAAAATTAAAAAACTACAAGATTCTGTTAAAAAATTCTACAATAAATATCAAATTTGTAATTTAAAACTTACGAGCAGTGATTTTCAAAAGAAAGTATAACTGGATATTCTGATGTTTTGAAAGCACTTTCTGCGATTGCTTCAATAACTTCCTGTGAAGAAAACATATAATGATGCTTAAATATTCTCCTCTTCCTGTGAGCACAAACATTTAAACACATTTTAGAAATTTCTGAAACTGTAATAAAGTACATTGTACAACAACATTATTAAATAAAATTTAAATAAATGAAAAAGATTTATAGAATGATGATGTAACAAACATTCTATAAGATGATTTGATATGCAAAAGCTTGTTCTATGTATTAAAAAAATTCTAAAAGGAGACAGGCTACTGACAAATAAGTTGATGATACAAGAATATCAGTTTTAAGTCAAAATGTCACAAATTCTATGGTCAATATAATGACTTTGTTTGCAAGTACAATCTATTGTTAGGTCAAATGCTGACTTATGTCTTTCATAAAAATCATGATTTCATTATTCCTATACTGAATTGTATACAGATTTTTTCCATTTCATGATCATGGTAAAGGGCATCTGGTAGATGTGACATGTTGACAGAGGATCCTCACTCCTCCATGACACCTGATCCCACCTCTTGTTTTCAGAGGTCTTTGTTTGCTTTGCTCACACTTTGTATTGTTTAATTGGACTTTTGGGCAAGATTACCGTTCTTTATCTTCACATTTCATTTATACTGACCAGAAAAATATTGATTTGGACAGAGGAAAAGCTATTTTTGGTTAATATAAAACTAAGTCCATTACCACAAAAGGCTGTATTTGTTTCATTTTGTAGTTCAGGACTGAAGACAATGAAGGTTGATTGGAGTCCAAATTTTCATTAAAATATTTTTGTAGTAGCTTGAATGCATTGTTCATTTTATAGTGTTTATTGGGTTTTTTTCCCTGCTTTACAAGTTGTCATTTTCCATCAATATTTTTAAGAAATCATCCTCCAGTAGGCATATTATTTTTTTTCTTTTTGGGGAATGATTTTGAAAAAAATAATAATAAAGAAACAGAATTTTTTTTACATAGATCCTGTATGCAGGGAACAAGCTTCATCAGTGGGCAAATTCAAAAAAAGGCAAAATTTTTAACACAACTGTGTTGGGGCGAATTTAAAATGGGTTGAAATTGTTTGCAAGTGTGACAGGGCAAACATAAAATGGGTCAAGTTAACCCTGTTAACAAAGACAGATGAATGGGCAGAAATCTTCACTGAGAAAACTTTACTATATAACCTCAGGGTTGTCCCTAAGAATTGAAATAGGAGGGTACATTAAAAAAGAAGGGGGTGTGTGGTTCCTCCCCTTATGAGAGGTTAAGGGGAATACCAGAGTAGCCAGGGGATAACATCATTATAGGTGGGGAAATTCCCTGGCCCTGGGGTCTTAGGGACAACTCCGTAATCTAGCCAATAAATGGAAGAACTTACCCCATGACGAGGATAAGTAAGGATAAGTAAGAATAAACATAGGATGGATGATTGGACAAAGCTCAGATGATGGTACTTTATTGTTGGACAATGTATAGTTAACACTAAATGGACATTTCCAATATTTGTATAGGCATAGTTGGGTACCTTGAAAGGAACCTCAGTGCACATGGTGTATCCATGAGTAATGATGGGTTCTTCATCAGCGTTTCTACCATCCCAGCAATCTAACTCAATACAACGACACCCTGTAAGTAGAACCTGTCTGTACATCTCAACGGATGATCGCCCTGTCAGTTGGTGGCCTACAAAACAAGACACAACCATTAATTTACCAACTGCTTAGGTCACAGGAACAATTGTTCTTTCCATCTTTTACAACTGAATCCCTTCTTCTCAGCATTTAGAATCCAAAACTAAAAATATATAATGCCATTTCGCATCAGGGGGTTAATTGTTAAACTCAGATAATCCAGGTTAAACTTATCCATGTGAACCAAACCCTTCTGACTGGCCCTGAGAGGCTGGAGAATTTAAATTTCAGAACACTTGTATGTTTTACTGACAGCTTAAAATTTATGATGTTGCTGACAAATAATGAGAGGATGTAAAGTTAACTTCTTACCACAGAAGATGTTGTATGACATTATTATACCCAGTTGAATTATGCTTACTCCTCCTTTAACATTCAGTATGATGCCAAATATAAATCACTGTTTGACAGTCTGATGTGAAGAGAGCATAAGGATGTCAATCAATGGATTTTTACTTTTTCATTTGTAAGGTCTGTAGATAATCAATTATAACTGGAAACAATGAAGTTGTGAGCCAATAGCTGGATCAGAATAGTTTTACCCTGCCCACTTACCCAGTGGGTATGTGTGTGTAGTTCAACCAAGTCCTGCAAACTTACCCTGGGTGTGTAGTTTAGCCATGCCCTGCCAACTTACCCTGTATGTAGATGTGTATAATTTAACTATGCCCCACCCACTTACCTTGTTGGTAGGTGTGTTGTTTAACCATGCCCTTCCAACTTACCCTGTAATTAGGTGTGTGTAATTTAACCATCCCCCACCCACTTACCCTGTAGGTGGGTGTTTATTTAACCATGCCCTGCCCACTTACCCTGCAAGTAGGTTGTGTAATTTAAGCATGCCCCACCCACTTACCCCGTAGTTAGGTGTGTGTAATTTAAGCATGCCCTGCCCACTTACCCTGTAGGTAGGTGTGTGTAATTTAAGCATGCCCCGCCCACTTACCCTGTAGGTAGGTAGGTGTGTGTAATTTAAGCATGTCTTGCCCACTTACCCTGTAGGTAGGTGTGTGTAATTTAAGCATGCCCCACCCACTTACCCCGTAGTTAGGTGTGTGTAATTTAAGCATGCCCAACCCACTTACCCTGTAGGTAGGTGTGCGTAATTTAAGCATGCCCCGCCCACTTACCCTGTAGGTACGTGTTATGACTGGAATTACAGAAGTAGTGTGCTAGAGGTTGATTCATGTCATGGCTGAGATCCAGGGAGTCTGGAGGGACAATGTTGTTATCGTCACTCAACAGAAATCTCAGGAAGCCATCCTGTGACAAATGCCCTGAAACAACAAAGATTTTAAATAAAAAGACTAATCAAAACTCACAGTTCCTATATTAAAAAATGAAAGTATAGGATTAGATTGAAACCAGCACAAAGACTTAAATTTATAAATTTATTTAAAAAAATAGTAAAATTATTCATCATTTGTGAGTACATCTGTGAATACTGAATCCTAGTTTTATGTCTTCTTCAACAGGAAGTAGTAAAATGCAGTGGACTCCATTTAACTGTTAAAATTACCAGTTACACAAAATAATATGATGTCATTCCAAAGCTGGATTTTTCCAAGGATAATTTTGAATTCATGGTGGTTAGCTAACAGATTGATTTAATATTTATGTTTAAATTGCAAAATATCAAATTCTACATGAATTAGCCATATTTTCTTTGAATATTGTCCTCTTCCTTAACATATTTGGGGAAACAGAGCACAACTAGAAAGCCTATAATAGAATTTTGTTAGTATGCTCTACTTAGTTTACTACAAGGAATTATAAAATATTGTCTTCATGCATCACACAGAAGGCTGCTGAAATACGGTAGATCTCAGAATAACAGAAAGATAGTCAAAAGTAACGTGTTTTCACAAATATATCTAGTATTTTCTATTAAAAAAAAAAAAAGTGAGTTTTTGTTGTCTTTCTTTTCAAAGATGTTTGAATACAATGAACAAAATGTCAACTGATGAATGTAACAGAGTAAAACTTAATCTACATGAAGAATGTAATGAGAACATTTGTTTCATAAAATACTGAAATTCACATGAGTATATCAAATGAAACAAGAAATTATAAACCAAAAGAAAGGGAAAAAACCTCCTACCCCCCTCTCTTTCCCATCCCTCTTAAATAAAAGTCTGTTTTAAAAAAGGTTAAAATGTACATCACCTTCAAAATAAGAAAAGATGACAAAAAAAATAAACCTAGTGATCATATCATACTTAAAAACATAACCCTTGTGGATTATGGAAAAAAAAAATTGAACAAGAAAATGTGAGAAAACCATCATCCAAGAGTGTTAGAAAACTTGGACAAACACAAAATATATCATTCACCTTACAGTGTTTGTAATTTTATAGCTTGTATCTTTGTAAATAAATGAAACAGCAGACCCAAAATATGCAATTAAAAAATGAAAATTCCACATTGTTTTATCAAAGATTGCCTGATTAACATTCATTACTTGCCATATAAAGTTAAATCTTGTTATCTCAACTCTATGGGGTTGAGTAAAAACTTTTGATATATCCGAGGATTTAAGATATTGAGGTTAAAATACATAAAGTGGTTAAGACTTCCAACTCACTTTCACATATCCATGATATCTGAGATATTGATGTTTGAGATACTGAAGTTCAACTGCATTAAAAGACAAAATTTGAATATGTTTGTGAACATATTGTCAAGAATATTCTTCCAGGTATAATGAGGGGTAAAATCCCCAAAACAATATATATTTATAATCATTAATAAGCTTTTACCTAACCGTGTAATTTCATTGTCATACATAAAATTATTTTAAAATGATGTTCCACTTTATAGTAATGAATGTTAACCCAAAGCAGAAATGATGGTAAAAGAAAAGAAAAATGCTTCAATCACACCTAATAAACAGTACATGTAAATATAGATGAAAAAATAATGAAAGGCAACTTAAATGGAACAGAACACTCTACTTCATTTCTCTACTACCTATCCTTGGTCCACATACATTAATTAGCATGTAGACCCTGGGATAATATTACTTTGATCTGCTTCACTGAATATTCAAGCTTTTTGGTGAAACTGATCCAGTAATCAGTGCATGCCTCTACCCACTTACCTTCCTCTTCTATGGAAATGAGTGAGAACAAATAGCAATATATGTTAATTGAGGTGAACTGAATTTTCAATCATTTATGAAGTACCGTAAAATTACAGGGGGTATATCTTTACTGTTTTCAACTAAATTCAGTATGAAAGAGTTATTTTTATTAATTTCGATGCACATTTCACCAGTCAAAAAAATTATTCTATCAACCTCATGCATGTACTCCTTTTCATTATAATCTTTACAAAATCATTTCTCAAAACAATATATTAAACTAAATGAAAATGCTACATCCAGTCTCTCTCTCTAGCAACCTTCACCGACTAATCAAAACAATCAACATTCACAAGACAAAAATGAGTGGGACAAATATGAACTTTTACTTTCCTGTTTTAAACTTTTTTTATACTAACAAAATAAAGCATTATTCATATAAAAAGAAAAATATCACATATTCTGATATATAATAATATCTCTTTAAAAAGATAACTGTAATAAATTCAGTAAACAATGTACCTTTTGCTGCCATATTTGCCCTAGATTCATACTCGTCTATGAAGTCTTGTGCCTGCCGCACGGTGTAGTAGGGGTAGAGAATTTCATTCAATCGTGGATCTCTCTGCTGCTTGTTTAAAAATTGCACAAACTGTTCCACTGTCAGATACGGCTTTTTCTTTGCTCCCCTACATATCAAAAGAAGAAATAAAAATGTGTGTTTCAAATTCACAAAACATTTCAAACTAATAAAAAAAAAAAATATATGAATTATTACAATAACCAGAATTGTATTGAAGTGAACTCAGTGGGCAAGTATCTTTCAGTCAAAAACAACAGGTAGGTTAAGTTAAGAGCAATTATAAACTAATTTGGACCAGAGGAATAGTGATTTTTTTTAATTGATCAGTAGTTTTCTTACACTTCATCAAAAACTTTGTCTACTTCTGTCCTTCCAATAAGATGACGATAGAAGCTGAAAAAATCTTCAAAGGAAAACTTGTTGGGGTCTATGGTTTCATTCTGAAAGTATAATATCAATTTACAAGGTATGTTTTTTTCTAAGCTCAACCTTTTCTTAGTTTACCAGTACATTATATTCATTTTAAAATCCATAATGACCAAATGAAGGCACAAATATGGAAATATTTTTGTCTTCAATTGAAAATAATAGTGTTAGTATATGTTTACAGTTAAAACTGCCTAGAACTTCTTGTTAGTGACAGACTCATAAATTATGCATGTACAAATTATTTTCAAATATTTTATGACTTATTCCATAATTAGCCAACAATGGCACAAATATTTGCTTTCTGCATTTGAATATAAGAAAAAATACTTGTATGTTGAAACTGCCTAAAAATTCCTGTTAGTGACAATACTGTGGTGTCATTAATTTTCATCGTTCTTTAGCTACACATCTTTATACCAAACACACTTTTTATATTTTATATCAATGTAAAATTTGACAAAAAAAAATGTGTGAAATAGTAAATTTATAATATATCAACTAGATTTCATATCTTAAAAGGTATAACTATGCAATTTGAATTCCAAAACACTTTGGCACTGTGTCTTTAAGTCACCAAAACTCAAACAGGAAAATCAAAAAAATTGTCAACATTAAAAAGGTTCAGCAAACCAACTTGTACCTGTAGCTGGGGATTCCCCCAGGGAATCTGTGTGTTTTATCATCACTTTTGCTAATGATAAAATTCTACATATCTACATTAGTGTAGAATGCCAAGTATCCATAAGTGCAAACTTGTTACAGTGTACTTATATTTTATAAATATCCTCTTTATTTCAATCAGTGTGTGTGTTTTTCTAAAACCTAAGGATTTAATGCAGCTACTGATAGAAGGTACTATAATAAAATGTTATTTTTTTGAGAAATGTTATTTTATCAAGTGTTAAATACACTTATCTTGCCTTTCAGAATACAATTTATGGGATCAAGATTATATATACTCTTTTTTAAATTATTTCCTATAAATATATGCATATACATGTATTTAATAAAAATAGTGATGTACATTACAAAATGTGAATTAGCTTACAAAAATTCTAAATTATTGGAAAATAAAGACTTTCACCTTGAAAGCATTAAACAAGAAAAGATGTAAATGCATTTGCGTATTTTTAATTTGTACTGTACACGTACCTGTACCTTTACACATTGGTTTGCTAAACCTTAAGTTTCTAATGATTAACAAAACCAATTATCATTTGCCCACTATGAGGAATACTGAACACAAATAACACACGATCAGTCCTTAAAATAAAACGAGTAATTTTTGTGTTTGTCAAGATTTTGTAGTGTTCTGCAGTTATATCAAATTTAAAAAATATTCCAATCCCTTTTCTCCAGGATAGCTGACTGACTGAAATCGCAATAGCATTAAAAAATTTGAAGGATCAACCTTAAAGAACCTTTATGCTGCTGAAATTACCCGTTTTACTGTAGTCTGAAACCAAATTTTGAACTTAATGATTTGGGAGAGGTTCTTAAAGAAAAGCATTCATATGAAGTCATTACAATGCAATGTTATCAATTTTCATAAGTATGTAGCACTCGAAAAGTTATTTCTGGGTATTGACGAGATTTATATGTATTGTAATACAAATTATAATAACAGTTACACATAAATATGCTTGTATTGTAAGGACTATGTGACTATGTTTGAATTGAGAAAAAAATACCTGAGGAATGTACGCAGAGATTTGGTGAAATCAAGATTTCATCTTCCCATTTCTAAGACACTTTATAAATGAATATAAATGAAATTTAGAAGAAACTAGATATGACTGATATTGTGGCTGGTTACATGTACATTATCATAATGCTGAAATACAAGTGTTATGATGACGTGGGGGTCATAAGAAATATCATGCCATGATGTAATTAAAAATCATGCATTTTTATGAAGCACTTTGTCCATTTCTTAAATAAAAATCATCTTCAGCCACAATTTTCAGACATTAAAGGCAGAGAAACCAGAAACAATATTCAACCTGTTTAGAGTTTTTTGACACCATCTTTTGAAAAGGCAAGTTGAAAAAACTGTCCTGAAATGCAATTGTTGAATCAAGGAATGTCAAAATAATAAAAATGTTGTGCTTTCTTTAGGACTGTATTCTATAGAAAACAGGTAACTTCATATGCTCTTCATATTTTCTTAGAGATTTGGTATTAACTTAAATAGCAGTTAATGTAATCAAATACAGAGTCATACTGTATACAAGTGTTTGGTACACTATCAATGTAAGCTTATTAAATTAAAAAAAAGTTGGCTAATCTCGTTGAACAAATGCTACTAACGAAGAGATATATACGATATATTTTTTTTGACACAATACACACCTTTCCTGCCATAAAGCCCACAGATTCCAATGCTTTCTCTACTTTTCTCTTGTCGTCTCTTGAATCTTTGGCTACCATTTTAATTATGCTAAAACATACAAAATCATAGGACAAATAAGCATAATGTTTATGTAAGATTGGACAATACTGTAAACATACTACCCTAATTATTGGAATTTTTGGTGAGATACAAAATTAGCGATTTATCATTAAAAATTGGTATATATTTCTGGCAAGAACTAATTTTAGCTATTACCACTGATTTGGAATTAATTGTCATTGATATTCAATTTTAGCAATCTCAACACCCTCGCTAATTATGTCAAAATTGAATCCTCGCTAAAAATTCTGCTCATACAGAACAACTTTTTTAACACAATTCATTCAATCTGAAATTCATTCATGCTAATATATTCTTAAAAGAAGGCTATGAAACTCATGGTTATTTCTCTAATATGAATAAAAGTTGGTTTATAGTATTTGAAGTGACTAAAACAATAAACAGTGACCTTTGACCTTTTGATGTGAAAATCAAAAGGGGTCGATCAGCTCATCCTGGCCAAGATTAGAGAGTATAGAGATTGATGACAATCAATGAAAGGAATTATTAGTCCTATTAATAGTAAATTAATAGTCACAAGTTATTTGATGTCGGTAGAGCAAACATGACCTTTGACCTTTTGACCTGAAGGTAAGTGAGGTTCATCTGCTTACCAAGGCCAATCGGTGTATAAATACAACTACTATATAAAATAATGGTTCTATACAGATATTGGTTGGACCAACAGACCATGAAAATATCTGCTGAGCAATATGCTTCAGTTCTAAAAGATTAGTTACTTGGAACTGGCTTCTGGATGCAAAATACAACCTCTGTTATGTAATTTAAAAACTAATTAATTCTATATGAAATAACTTACAAGCCAGTATAATATGCATTGCAAAAGTAATATATATACAGAGGTGGATGTACAATAATATCTAAACCAGTGTAAAATACAATTAATGTATATGATCAGCAAGTGTACATGATGTAATGTTATAACCCAGTACCAATTTCTTGCCATATCTATATACCAAACAAGCCACAGCTAAAAAACAGTTATAGCAAATCAATAGACATAGCTGAAATTGCTTTGTCATATTATATCTAATTCTTTATAGAGAGCTAATAATTTGTGGCTATTTTCTTATACTTGGTGAAAAAAAATGACTTTATTATAATCATATATTTGCTTCATCCATGTTTGCTGTAAAAATGTTTGACATGTATGTGCATTTGTCCGTTATCATACTTTTTTACAGGAATTCTTCCATTGACATCGAGGACATGGGTTAGCTTGGTGTGAGCTTTCTCTAGATACGACAGGACACTGCCATTTAATGCTAACAAGTTAGTGGCAAACTTCAACAGCTCTTCTGTCCACTCCTGTAACAAAATACAATTAAAACTTCACTTTCCAGAGTCTTCAATCAACAGAATACTTATATAAACTAGTGTGGAATCATCATTGTTCATGGGGACCAATGTTCGTGGACTTCGTTGGTCAGCCTTACACACAATTCTACATCCGCATGAACAATTTTTTGTCAGCTTATTGAATCTACTGAATTAACAAGTTACCCACAAAATTACATTCCCACTAATCAGTAAAATATTGCTTGCCCATGAACATTGCCCCCCCCCCCCATTAAAAGTATTTCACAGTATATACAGTTATTTACATAGAGTGATGTCCTGAAACTACTGGCAGAAAAGTGTTGACATTTCAACCTACCCTGGCCACATCTCGACTGGCACACACAAAGTTGACAAACTCGATGTTGGTCATATCCTTGCCATAACATATTGTGATTGTCTTGTCTTCTGTGGGGACATCTGATGGACCTATCATACATTGGTCACGTAACTTACCCTCCTAAAAATTAATTATAGTCAGATTAAAAATGATTTCCATTCATTAGTTATTGCAAGTGTAACAACACCCGATTTCTTGATTCTTTATACTGGTTTCTTTCATAATGTTTTTTTTTCCTACATTCATGATCTTAACATGCTTTTTTGATTTTCCTCATAATTTCAGGAAGTTAGTGACCCTATTACCAAATCAATCTCCTTCAGTTGGGATTTTCTGATTTCTGTATATTTTTTAAAGACAACATTCCCCTTAATGATATTTTTCTGAATAGCATTATAGTTGTAAAAATTATTCAATGCGTGTCTTCAAATTTAAAATATTCAAGTTTTTCCTCTACATCAATGTAAGTATTTGTTAGAAAGTTGCACACAAAAAGCTACATCCACCACCACTTGCTACAAGAAATACAAAAGATATCACAAAAAAATTATATAATTAAAACAAATATAGAGCTACTGGTATGATTAATAGATGCATGATAATTAATAGCCTGCATTATTCACAGCTGGGATAATATCCCTTAATCTGAAGTAACATAAGGTTATTATTGATAAAAGAATTTGCTCATTTTTTTTCCGATATGTCTTTCTTCTTTTTTTCCCTTTTTTCTTTTGATAAGCATTAACCATCTAAATGGTGAGTATTATCTTAATCAACCTGAACATCCTTTAAAAAAAACATTTTCTAACAAATAAACACAACAAAGTCATTTGGGAAAAATCTCCCTGAAATTGTGCACTCTCAAAACATCAATAAAATGCAAATGTATGTAAACTTCTTTTTCTTTGGCATCAATATTCCATATTGATGTCTATAACAGTCTTGCATTTTCTAAAATCATGAGTCACGGTATTTATAAAACCCACTAAAACTTGACAGTTTATACAGCTTTTAAGTGTAATATAGCAGCATGTTGGAGAATATTTATGTGAATGGAAATGGGTAGAGAGGTGAACAAATAACATTTTATGAAATTTTTAAATTAATTTCCCAGTTTGCCATTGCTCTGGTGGGAAGAGGGTAAGGTACAAAAAGCATTTCCTCATGCTAAAGAGGGATCTTGCGTGCTCTGGCTCTTTACAAAATGCATCCTTTTTTCCCCATTATGGCAAGAGAGTCATTAGTCATAATGGTCTCTGATGACTTCTGCAACATTAAATCTTCCTAATAAGGAAGAGTCTGCACTTGTCTATTTATGTGTCTTGAAGATCAAAAGTCATAATACATTGCCCTTTTTGTGGTATGTGTCAGTTTCCACAGTAATGAATCTTTTTCCTCCCGTCGAACATTTGAGAGCTAAACTCCAAGGGATCATGTGGAAAAATGTAAAAGTAAGGCCAACCACACAGATAAATGTGTAATACCAGCATGCAATCCTATACTCAATACAGACTGCACAACCTATCATGAAGTAACGAAAGGTCCACCCTATCAACAATCCACTTCAAAGGCTCACTTCTCCTTTATGCAAGATTTTCTGGCTGCAGGCTGGATGGCTATAGATGTAAAACTTAATACATGAATGATTTCCCAGACTACTCCAATTGACGTGTCATCAGAAAAAAAAAAACAGCAGAATATTTTCGCTAACTATTGCAAATAAAAATTTACTATCAGAATGAAATTTGTCATTTGAATTTTCTTCAGTATTTTAATAACTGATTATCACACATGAATTATGTAATAGAACATAAATCTTCTGATTGCTGGGACAACACTGACATTGAAAATGTTGTGGTTCATGTTATTTTGTGCTTGTCTGGACAACAACTTGGACAAAGACATAACTGTGTATCCAGCTTAAATAATTCTTGATTAAAATATCCCTGTGTGTCAGTAACTAATATCGGCCATCTTTTACTCACAAACATCCATTATATGTAAAGATTTATAATCAATCTATTATTAGGTATTCATAATTTTCTTGTAAGTGCGATGTAGATCATACAATAAATGGTTTATATTTTGATTATGCTTCACAATAAAACCTTGATTGTGTTAAAATTTTAAGAAAGGAACAAAATACTCTCGGGTCACAGTGCTTACCTGAGTCATAAAAGGATTGATCATAAAACTTTGTTACTTATTTCAGAAAATAACATAACCAGATAAAAATTTACATAAATACTATTTTAAAATTGGACCAGGAAGCACAAAAATATGTAACACTACCTGGGATATAACAAATTCTGAACCTAACAATATTTCAGCTCTTCCTTTGGAAGATCAATGAATTCACTTTTACCGTCATAAAAACTTACCAAACTAAAAACAGGAAATCAGAGATTACAGAGCTCACCTCTACAAATGTTGTCTTTAAGTAAGGCAAAGTCTGACACTAAACTAGCAGTGTGAATCCTAGATGCAACAATTATGCAATTTTGGTATGATAGGGCTTATAGTTACTTGGGAATGGACTTATCTAAAAACTTTAAACTAGTCACTCATCCAGAAAATGCAAGTCAAATCCAGCATCTGAAACAAGTTTGACAGTGTTTGTCCCTTGATGCATCATCCATGCAAGTTTGGTTCAGATAGGCCTTATAGTTTCTTGGCAATGGACCTGCTCCAAAAACTTTAACCTCATCTGGAAAATGTAGGTCAGATCCAGCATCCCAAGCAAGTCCAGTAGTGTGCATTCTTAGATGTATCAACCATGCAAGTTTGGTCAACATAGGACTAACATTTACTTGGAAACAAGATCTGCTCCAAACTTTAACCTGGTCACTCATCTGGAAAATGTAGATCAGATCCAGCATCCAGAGCAGGTCCAGTAGTGTGCATCCTTAGATGTATCATCCATGCAAGTTTGGTCAACATAGGACTTATAGTTACTTGGAAATGAGATCTGCTCCAAAAACTTTAACCTGATCACTCATCTGGAAAATGTAGGTCAGATCCAGAATCCGAAGCAAGCCTGGTAGTGTGCATCCTTAGATGTATCATCCATGCATGTTAAGTCAATATAGGGCTTATTGTTACTATGAAATGAGATCTGCTCCAAAAACTTTAACCTGGTCACTCATCCGCAAATGTAGGTCATATCCAGCATCCGAAGCAAGTCCAGTAGTGTGCATCCTTAGATGTATCATCTAAGCAAGTTTGGTCAACATAGGACTTATAGTTATTTGGAAATGAGATCTGCTCCAAAATCTTTAACCTACTCCAAAAACATTAACCTGGTCATTCTTTAGCTGAAATTGCAGCATCTGACACCTTGACTGGTACAATGAAACACACTAGAGGCATCCTCCATGCACCTCTGATTGATATAGGGCAAAGAAGTACTTGAAAAGAAATCTGCTCCAAAAACTTTAACATGGGATGCCGAGGGTATTACATAAGCTCCCCCAACTTTGTTGAGGTGAGCTAAAATGTTGAGTACATGTAATTTTTTTTCTTTGGACTACCATTTACATTTAATATTTTTGACTGAAATACAAATTTTATTCTTGTTAAAAGGTTCCTTAATATCTGGAGCCCTACTAGAAGTTGTGAATAAAAGATGACTACCGGTAATACATATTTTAGCCATACTGACATATTTCCAAGAAAAAGAAATTCAACACCTTGTAAAGAAAATTTTAAAAGGTTTCATTTATCACAATAGAAAATGGATACTGCTATTTGCATAATTTGTAACCGTCCCTTTGACCTGTGCAGTGAATCAGTGTAAAACATCAAACACTTACATACTTATATGAAACCTGAAATGAGAATTGACGGCTTTCAACACCTATTTTATTTACTATTGTAACTGCATTCAGCCAAGATTGATTTTTCACCATTAGAATATTTTTTTCCTTCAAAAATAGAAAATTTAAAAAAAAATCAAATATCCATCAAAAAAATCTACCGATACTTGTTAAAAAGACAACAGGTTATTTTTCAAAGCGACAGCATTAACACAAAGCAAAGTTTGTACCTGGCCTTTTTAAAATAACCAGGTATCTGCTCCTCATTAGAAAAACATTAATGAAGACAAAAAATGTTACCCTATTATGCATTATTTTCACTCTTGTTATATTTTAATGCAAACACAGACACACATAATGTCATTGATATCAAAATTATGCACTCTAAGTCTCACTTTATTTGGAATTTTGATCAATTTCTTAAAGAATTCACTTATCATTGCCTGCAAAGAATTCATAATTATCTAAAAACACATTACCGAGACAAATTTAAAAAAAAAAAGAAAAGAAGTCCTGACTATTAATAGATGTTTGAATGATTTTCAAAAAAAGCTTACTATTAATATTAAGATGAAAGTCATCGTTCACAATATTTCTCACAAACTGTTAGAGGTTTCATGTATTAAATATTGCGTACAGGTAAGTTAATGCAAAGCCAATTGAAAGGTGTGTTTCACTAGTTTTCATCTTTTAAAAAATTGCATTAATATTCACTTACTAAAATAAATTAAAAAAAAAAACATGGTATTACTTTTTTTCCACTTTCACTGTACTGATATTTTGATATTCTGATATTTTGATGTTACAAAAAAAGGAAAAGTTATCATTCTGATTCATATTTGATATTATTATTCATAATATTAAGCATATTAACAATTGTTACAGTACAAGAAACAGAGTGAAATTGGTTTGCAATTTAGCTACTATACAAGAGGGAGTTGATCCCTTGATAGGAAAAACAAGAGGTGTACTGATTAGAAATGAAGATTTTCAATAAATCATGTGTGCAGTGTATATACAAATGTGAACGATGGCTTTTCTTTGTGTGTTTGTGTAAATTTTCTCCACGCTATATGAAAGAGCAGATCAAAACCTACAAGAACTTACAGGTGCTGATGGCCTACGACTACTACCCTGAAACAACAAACACACAGCATCATGGAGACATGCCTCACAGTACACTCAGGCCAACAATAACAAATTGTCTGTTTAACACTCTCACACTGTCGTATAAGCTTTTGACATGCAAGAATGCTTAAACACAGTGTAACCCAATCTTTCTGTGCTTGTTTAATTTTTGCTGTTCTTTTTCAGTAATTTCTTTTAATTTCACATTAAAGAAATAGACTTAAATCCAAGATAAAAAGTGGACTTTTTTACTTGACAGGAATAACAGTCATTTATATCAATGAGAGTTTATTTCTCTTATCAGAGGGTCCATGAACCTTAAGTCAAACAGTTTATAAATGCATTAAAAAAAATCTAATTAGCAAAAATTTCAAGCTGCAGAAATTTTCCATCATGCAATAGATCTACACAAGATATACATTTATACGTTTGCTATAGCATCTAATAGACATTTTTTTTTCATCCCATTTTGCATCAGGCAGACATTCAATTCTTAAAGTAACAAACTATCAAGATGGAACACACTTAAACATTTTGAGATACACTGGAAATAAATTTTAATCATTCAGGAAATAAAATGTTGTGTCATAGAGATGAATTGATAATGTATTTACTTATAGTCTGATGGGTGAAAAGAAAACAAATAAAATTTTAACATCAGCCTGGAAAATGAAGTAGAGAACTATTGATAGGACAAATATTTAATATAAGGTTCTATAATGTTCTTATATTTCCATTCATCGTAGATACTTCTGATTGAATTTATCAGGAATCAATTAAACATCTGTCAGTGGGGTTTTTTTTTATAAACTTTGAAAAACTGAAAATTTAAAAAATGTAATTTTTAAAATAACCTTTCCAAATTTGATCATTTTGAATGCTTCAAAATAATTCGAAACCTAACGAAACAAGGAATATGTAGTTATTCCTGTTTGATTTATTGACAAAACTGCTTTCATGCAAATAATTAAATACAGTGTAACAGTTGACATGCCATAATGCAAAAAATAATGCATAAAATATAAAACCTAATAAAATGCACCCATGACTAAACACTCAGTGACTTATGTCCAGCATGATAAACACCTATGTCTGTCCTTGAAACTGAATACAGAGTTTAAAAATGATTACATTATTGCTGTGAATGTATCTTCCTAAACAGTGAAATTGAAAATTTGTTTCATCTATTATCCTGAAAAGTTTTTTTCCTTTTCTTCAAGCATTTTGGACACTATAGACAGTTGCATAAAAGTGTGATAAGCTCCTATTAGCATGGATATAATCCTCCCATTTTTGGACAACATGCACTTTTTTCCCTATATTCAGAGCAACTAAACCCTACTGTCCTATTTACACGAAGAGTATAGGGGCCAATCTCATTAAAATTCGATCTTTGATCCACTCCTGAATTTGATACATCACTCAAATGAAGGACTGGCTCAGAGACCTTTTTTAATGGAGACCGATTTGAGATGAGTGGAATAATTTGGTACCTTGGGAACCTTGGCATATCTCCCTGTCCTTGTGTCTCGGATGTAGGAAATGTCTAGAAAGTCCATATCCTGCAAAAACAGTACCAAACATTTTATTATAAATTATAAATGATATGTGTGGTAACAGTAGATCAAAGGTGACAATGAAATTTGGCATGTCTCACGAACTTTTTTGCAACTTATTACTGCATGCAGTCTAAAATATACATGAATATATGTGTACCTTTCATGATACACTGTGATATATGAAAAAAAAATCAGAAATATCTGTTTCAATCACAATTCATATTTGAAATATTAGTTCTTTAATCATTCGTACTTTCTATTTTAAAGTGCACCGTTAAAATTAAAACTCTACTTCTAAACATATGTTTCCTACATCTTACCAGAAGAATAAATTTCTATACAAAGTGGCTGACAACATTTATTTGTATACAATGTACACATTTACAATGCATCAAACAGTTGAATACCTAATGATTTATTATAACAAGAAACACATGCCAAAAATTACACATTGAAAAAAAAAATCACAGATGTAAGATACACCATTTTTTTCATAATAGTTATCAAGGCACACATGAATTTTGTGAAAAATATTAGTGAGATAAATTGACAGAAAACGTGTTGCTTGAACATTCAGGGAAGGACAATGGATGGATGGACAAAAAGCCATCCCCATATGTCCATTTTCCACTAACTTTTTCCTAAACTACAACTATTTTTCATTACATAAACTGTGTGAAATATCTGACAGCAGACTTAAGCCCAGGCAGACGAGGTAACTTAACCAATCAATATTTCTTTTGATTGTTTTTTTACCTCTGAGGAAATACACAAAAGGGAATAATGAACTTGAACAATATTATGTACCTTAACTTGTCCTCGCAATAGATAAATTGAGTGTTTATTAAAGTTACTCTGCAGAAATGAAAAAAAAATGGGTATTTTAAAAAATGGAGGAGTGTTAATACTTCTCAGTTACCATGGGGTATTTTCTTACAATGAATTAATTAAAATTTAAACTCAATCTACTGTAAATGACAGTAAAAAAAAAGATTTGAGTTTCTTCATGAATAGTCAGATCTTATACAAATCCTTTCTGGTTTAGAGAATCTATTTTAAAAAATAAACTGAACTTAATTAAAATTTAATTTAAGCAGCGCTATTTTGCACCAAGTAGAGACAATTTATTGGTTTGGAAATGTGTCACAGCATGATGGCTTTAAAATTTAGCTCAGGTGAGCTTATAAGGAAAAACAATACAATAAATATAATCTCAACATATTTAAATAATGGCCATGTTGTTAAGGGTGCTTATAATAAACTTGGGCTCATCTAATTTTTACGAGTTGATGGTATCAACTCATGTTATGTGACTTGTAAGGGATTCCCCAATGTATCGAAACTAATCACATTTTCATTTGAGTATTTTGCGTACGGGTTCTTGTACAATATTGGTTTATTTACAGTTTTCATAATCTACAGAACAAGAATATGTTTTCTGATATGCTTTGAAGTGTTTATAAACATATGTATTTATTATTAATTTTATTGGAATTTGTATCCATCCGCAAAAGAAAATAGAGTTAGGGACATGCGTTCAACAAAAGTGACATGCCGTGCAAACAAAATTTTGATTTATAAATCAATAAATGTTTTATATAATAAGAAGTATTTTGAAAACAGATTTTTGAAGAAAATTCACAAAATTGAACATTGTACAAACCAGGTTATTTTTAAAAGATTGACGTGCTAGTGGTATATAAATAAACTAATTCTTGCACTGTTATGCTGATGAACAGAGCAGTTTTCCCGCGTAAGTGATGAATCATTCAACACAGAGAACACTGCCAATGTTTGTAAACAAAGCGAGGAGTTTGCAGTAAAGAAGGTCGAAGTAAATCAACTACTAATCTCAAACGGAAGAAATGAGCTGTACCAGTAAAATTAGAGTTCTTATTTCTTGTGCAAGCAATAAAAGATTTCGATTGCTTCAAGGGTTAGAATTTTTCAGCAGGGGACAACTTTGTGCTCCAATTTCTTTTTTCCTGTTAAAAACACTGTCTTCCACAATCTAGATCTGTTTCACAGCAAGCTTTAAATACAGCAATGGTCACTTAACACGCCTGTGATTCTTATCTAATTAATTGTCGGCACTACACCGGGAAGTGGTTTCCTTTAATGTGTCCAGCTGTGTTTTGCTATCAGATGCTGGTCATGTTATAAAGTGAATTAATAGTACTGAAGGCAATAAGTAAAAACAAAAACAAAAAAAATAAGTGGGGTGTTATTGATAAATGTGAAATGCATATTTAAAAATGTGAAGAGATCAAGAAATCAAATTAATTCAAGAGTAGATAGACCATGTAAATAGTCAATATCATGCCATTGTGATAAATTTATAATCTTCAGTCGAAAAGCCGAAAGAATTGAAATTTTTAACGTGCATACTTGTATCAATGAAAGTCAAGAAAGGCTAATCCGAGAGAAATGATATATAAAATGTGCATATCAATTTAAGTCAAGTAGTTATATTTCAAAAGTGACTAAACCAAATGAAATGACATGTAAAATGCCCATTTCAGTTAAATGTCAAAAAGTTCAATTTCAAGAGTAGCGTAATCAAGAGAATAAAAATATTTATTGTGCATATCAATGATTATAAAAGACAGGAGGTTGAATTTCAAGAGTGGCTAAATCAAGAGAATTGAAATATCAAATGTGCATGTAATTTTGAAAGACAAGGATTTGAATTTCAATAGTAACTAAATCAAGAAAATTGAATAATGGAATATACATATGAAAGTAAAAGATATGAATTTTAAGACTGGCTTAATCACGAGAATTGGAACATATTGATGTGCATTGAAAATGTCAAATTGTTTTCAATTGAAGAAAGCAGTGAAAATATTCAATGAGCATGTTAATGAAATAATTCAATTTGCGCTATTTGTAAATAATAATTCCCTACTTGTAATACTATTGTAGGTTTGGCCTAGTAGTTTGAGAAATGTGTGTTTAAAACTTTTTCTTGTTTTTTGTCTACTTAGTTGTTTTAATTCTGTAATATGATTTTACAACAGTTACGCACGCTGTTGGTACATGTTGACGTTACGTCAAAATCACGCATTATAACGTTGTTTTATAGCATTTTACGTTATTTATTGTGCACATTAAATATATATTTCTACTATAGAATTTATCAAAAGAAAATAACAGACTACAATCAATAAAGTCAATGTTAGATCTAAAGAGAATATTTTGACTTTTAAATTCTAGTAAGGGATTGACAGTTCACAGGATCTCAAAATATCCTCGTGCATATCTTCAGAAAGCGAAAATTTTCCATATCTTGATTTCATATGAAGACAAACATAGCGAACAGCAAGAGATGGAATGAGAACATTTCTCTTTTTTATAAGTTTATAATTGAGATGATCCCCCTTTATTTTTTCGAAATATAGTCCTTCAATAACTTTAACACCGGCATCAAAAGTGTTTCCCCACTCATCTTTTGTAGTTTCTGTAAGTGTTCTCTCCTTTTGTAAGCACTGTACTAAATAGTAATCCTCTCCTTCATCATCTGTGTATACAGCTATGATCACGCCGTTCTGAATGAGATCTGACTGAATAGTGCTGCAATCAAGATTTGAATCATCAGCTGAATCAACTGAATTTTCATGTTTCATAATGTAGTCCTTAAATGGTCCCGCAAAACTGCTACACAAATTGTATTTGTCGTTGATGCAGTGATTGCAGTTGTAACATGTGAGGTTCCTTGCCCGTATTTTGCAGGGTTCTACAAATGTTATTTGATGGAAACATCGAACTGATGGTAGAGACTTGAACGTCCTTCCACGATTACGGGGGATTTCATTGACATAACGGAATATTCGCCGCTTGCAGCCTGCAGAACTGTCTTTTGGAGAGCATAAATGACGAATGCAAAAGTTGTAAAGTTGTTCTGCATTTTGAATGATCCACTTTCCGCGAGAAACAGCCATGTCTGCTTGATTTTTTATTAGCCCCCCTGCTGCATCCTGGACCCCCTTTGCATGCGATGTCTCAAAAAAGTTTCTGATAATTTTGTACCCAAAATCCTGTTCTGAGTAACTCAAATCTCCAAAGCAGTGACGAGATTTGTACTGTGAGGCACAACCATCAGTAAATTCGTGAATCATTTCAGTTTGGTAATTTATAGAAATCAGGTAATTACAGATCAGTTTCTGTACTTCATGTGTAAAGTTATGGTCATGACTGGTATCGGGACTAATTACGAAAAAATGCTCTTGTATAAGGTCATGTTCAGTCGTATTCTCGTCTTCCTGGCCATCAATATCGGGCAAACGATGCCTGTATAATACAGTGACGTGCAGGGATACTTCTGACTTTTGAAAATAGCTCGATTGAATTTCCACCCTGTCCTTACAGTAGTAATTTTCAGAAAAATCATGAATGCGAATTACATGATTGTTTTCGAGATTTTCTTTCAGAAAATTCAATTGACACGATTGCCACTTAGAGCGAAACACGTGACTTGCAAATTTGGAGATGATTTGAAGAAAATACCCAAACATTTCGCCGGGTTTTGTGCTCTTCTGAACAAGACAGAGTTTTCTGGTCATTTTGTTTTTTATTTTTGATTCAACATATTCATATCTCATCCACTGAACATCGTTGGAGTTTTCTGTATCTTGTTCCTGGTCTGACAACATGAAATTTTTGACTCCACAGTTTTCACAACGCCGTTCCACGCAAGCTAAATTATGGAATAATTCGCCCTCTGGTTTTTGACAAAGTGTACTGTTTATCAGTTCAGTCAGATTTTCAAAAACAGGATATTGATCACTTGTTGGCGTATTATGTTTTCTGAATTCCATGCAACTCTTAAAAAGAAACCTTGCTTCCACGTGGTATCTACAACATGTTTCTCGGTCGCGTGGTCTAACTGGAGTAACAAAGTAAGGTTTCAGATTTTCAAACATTCTTTGAGAGATTTTAATGTGTGGATATTTTTCTTGAAAACTTAGGAAGACTTCAGTTTGCGTTTTTTCAAGAATGTGTTT